ATTGATAAACAGCATAAACCACTAGCAAACCCCAGATCATCCAAGTAAATGATCTTAAATTAGTTTCGACTCGGCGCGAAGTCGAATCTGTGCTTGCAGTTCTTCCGCCAACGCCCATTGAAACGAGGATCCAGGACGCGAACCAAGCTCTTTCAAAGCAGGCCAAGGCTTAGCAGATCGAAGCGCGGTAGTCACAGCAGCAAGCCGCAATAATAGCAAAGCGCAATAATATATAATATAGCAGATGAGTGAGAGGGTGACTGTGACTGTGCGCGTGAATGATTGGGTGAGTGAATGAGTGAGTGTGAGTGAGTGAGTGAGTGAGGGAGGGAGTGAGTGAGTGAGTGATTGAGTGATTGTTTGTTGAGCCACGCAATCAATTTGGCAAGTTGGCGTGTGAACGTTGATGTGAAAACCAGTGGGTGTGAGCAAGCGGTGTAAGTCATGTGAGGAAGTTGGTCCGAACTTTTTTTGGTTCAGAGTCTGAGGTGAGTTGAGCGTGTTGCTGAGCGAGAGTGGCGGGAGGAGCACAGGAGGAGAAGCGGACATCACACACTACCGCGTGGTTCTCACTGGCACCGAGCCACGAAAACGCCGAGGCCAAGTCAAATCGCGCGGCGCAGACTAGACTAGTCGCTCGTCGTGTCTACGCACTCAAGCTTCCAATGGTGCGTAGCAACGCAAACACATGCTCCACCGAGGCCGCGCCAAACCACATGGCACTGCGCGATGTTGCAGACGCAATTTTGCTGATGTCAATGCGCAAGATGCAAATTGAATTCCTATTGCCCTGGGCCTTTGGACCCATTGGGTCGGAAAATGGGGTTCTTTTGGCGGGTCACTGCAAGGGTTGCTTGAGGTTTTTGAACAGGGTATAGGAGGATGGTGCAATTGCTCAACCTGCCTGAACGGGCCCAAATATCCGGTCCGAATAATTAGAAGATAACCGCAGTTCCATGTTCGTGCGAATTCTCAGTGCCACAGGTGCGCCCAGTGCGGCGGACGGCCGAGGAGCAGAGCATCTATGGCGCACCTTACCGCGTTTGTCTCAGTGGTGAAGTGCAAGTGGAGCGGCGCAGCTGCGAAAGGTGTGTAACGTCCTGACATGTGTTTATCATTCCGTAATATTCCATATGTTGTTGGTGTGTTTTCAAAAAAACGGTTCCATTGACGTGTTAGTGTAAATGCAGGGCAGGACTTTTTTCACCCACTGCTTGTTTTAGCGACGTTTTTCAACTGTGGTGTGTATATGTGTGTGTTGTTCAACCCTAGAGGCCCTAGATGTTTAACCAATTACTTCACAACAAAAAGTTCAACTCGACATGGAAACCGTTTCGACGCGCCGCCACATTTGGCCGCGGCATCCTGCAGCAGCACCGCCACCCAAGCTCCAAAGAATTGTTTTTTCATTTTCCTTTGGGAATTCTTTTGCTTTTTGTAGTATTTGTTTGACGTGTGTTTGCTCTTTTCCTGCATTTGCTTTTGCTTCGGCTTCCGCTGTTGCTTCTGCTTTTGCCTTTGATCCTGCTCTTTCTGCTTCTGCTTTTGCATTTACTCTGGCTTCTACTTTATTTCGCTTTTGCTTTTGCTTTTGCATTTCCTCTTGCTTCTGCTTTTGCTTTCGCTTCTGCTTTTGCCTTTGCTCCTGCTTCTGTTCTGCTTTTTGCTTTTGCATGTGCTCTTGCTTCCGCTTTTGCTTTCGCTTCTGCTGTTGCAAGTGGGCAGGCAACAACTGGTGCTGCAAGTGGTCAGTTTCAAAGCTGCGTTGCTGCAAGAAAGAGGCTTTGAATGCTGCCCTGCTTGCAGTAAAGACCCTGTGCTGCTGCAAGTGGCCCCAATCCAACATAGCACACCTCCTATGAGCTGCCCAAGAGTTTCATTTACAGAAACCAGCGCTGTGAGCGTGTGAATTTTTCAGTGTTACTTACGCAGAGGAAAATCTAAACGTTTTAAATATTGCCTATGCACGTGAGAAATGGCAATAGCAAAGACCTAGAGGAAATACCAAAAAAAGACCTAGAGGAAATAGCAAAAATACCGACCAAAGACCGAGACAAAATATCAAAAATACAAATCCTCTGGAGACATATAGGCCACCTGAGTAGTAGTATTTCCTCTAGGTCTTTGCTATTTTTGGTATTTCTTCTAGGACCTAGACAACGTACCAAAAATACCAAAAAACACACTAAACATACAAAAAATACCAACCCTCTGGGGTATTTCCTCTAGGTCAAAACCAAAAATACCAACCCTCTGGAGTATTTCCTCCAGTTTTTTTGGTACATTTTTTGTATTTTGTCTAGGTCTTTAGTATTTTTGGTCTTTCTTCGAGGTCTGTGGTATTTTTGGTATTTCTTCTAGGTATTTGGTTTTTTTGGTATTTCCTCTAGGTCTTTGGTATTTTTGGTATGTTTGTGGCGTTTCCTCGAAAGAAATTGTTAAGAAGGTGTATTTTGGATGATCTGTCTATGATCTACAGGTTTAGTATTCAGACTTTTCTTCGAGTTTCCCATGTACGTATTGTTTTCCAAAGATTTGGTGCGCAGATCTCATTGCCGCTTTCTTGTGACGGCATTGGTACGCCTGGTGGTGTGGCGCGGGTTTGAACTCGATTGTTGATTCAATGGTTGAATGATATCAGTTGGTTAGATGTGGTGCGGTTGAAGGAAGGTTGGCTTGGCATTGATTTGGATGTAATGTGTCTTCTTCTTCTTTGTTTCGTTTTATTGGAATGGAGTTGATTAGGCTGAACTTGTTTTGCTTTTTGGATTGGACTTGATTGGATATGACTGGATTAGATTTGGCCGGGTTTGTTGATTTAGCTAAGTGCATTCAACTCTCTCTCCCTCTCTCTGAGTTCAGTAGTGTCATATTTCAATCAAACTGAGCCCAACCAAAGCCCAACCAAAGATTTTAAGAGCCACTCGAGGGTAAAATTTAGAGGAGGAAGGCACTGTTCCACCGTAGCAGACCTTGTGAGCTACGCAAGGGCACAATTTAGAGGAGGAAGGAACCATTGCAACGTTACAGACCCTTTGTCAGCGCGCGGGGAACATTTTCAGGACTGAAGTGTAGTCGAGGAAGATGCCACGCCGACGTAGCAGAGCCACCCGCGGACAAAACTCAGACGAGGAAGGAACCGTTCCAACGTTGCAGGCAGCAGCGCCCTGCAATGGCGCCTGCGCTCAAGCTTCAAAGCGCGCAGGCACCTTGCTTGCAAGCTCTATCGCTGCCTTCCTAAGTCGGCAAACGGTTGCCCGAAAGCTCTAAGCCAGATGACAAGGTTTTGTTGGTTAGCATCTCTGGATGTCAAACCCCCAGCTTGAGCGCAATCCGGGCTTGCTGGGATGCGAGCCGCAGAATCCGAAGGCGAGACACGCACTCGCCTTTTTACTTTTCTCGTGAAAATCATGTAGTGGTTGCCCTTGGTCGCCGCTTGGGTTTTTCATGTTTTTCATTTTGCCGAATTATTGTCTGTGTATGATGGTCGGACTGGGCCTGCAGCAAAAATACGGCGACCGCTTTGGCCGAAACGTGCAGAGCCTGAAGACCATATTTCGGGAGTGGAGGCTGCGTAGGTGGTTGCGGTTTTTGACAGTGCTCTGACTCGTCGTTCACATGGAAGTGGGATGTGGCCTTTGGGAATATGTGAGTTATTAACGCCTCTTCTGTTCAAACTACATGCCAAACATTCGTTCAAATATGTTTCTGTACTTCTCTGGTCCTATCCTCCGTCTCTGGCGCCGGGCTAAGCCAGGCTGCAGTGACCCAAGATCAGCGCGACCCTTTTAGCTAAAGCCAAATTTCATCCGATTTTTCTCGCTAAATTGAAGGTGTTGTTGTCCTAATGATAGAAGTGGTCTATGGAAAATCCACCATTATATAGGGGCTGACGTCTGTAGAAAACGGGCATTCTTTAGTTACGAGGAGGTAAAACCGGCGAGGGTCACGTATTACATTTCTAGAGAGTGTAGTTCACTAGAAAATGAGAGACGCAGGTCTCAATAGGCATGCTTCCACGACCATTTTCTAGACATCAACTTGTTTTCATGATTCTTCCTGCCCTTCATTTTCTAGTGAGGTTGTTCGTTTTCTAGCAAGCATGATGAATCAAGATGAGTCAAGACGTAATATAAGTAAGACATGGTAAAGAATCGCGTAAATTTTTAAATCTTCAAGATCTAGAGACAAAATATCAAGAATACATTTAGAACATTCAAGACATACCCCCAATTTTCAAGCGCGGAGCGATTTTGGGTATGGCCAGGCCTGAGGCTTGGTGTTCCAGGTGCTGGTCGAGACACCAAAGCCACTAGAAAATGAGGAGGCTCCGCCTAAAACCTTATAACCTTCATTTTCTAGTGAATTTGGTTTGGCTGTCCCTTGGATTAGGCAGAGATGGAATGGTAGGGTATGGCACCACGCTGGTCGAGACACCAAAAACTAAGCCAGAGAGCAGGATATGGCAGGGTCCAAAAATTTGGATAACCTCGCTGTCCCATGGGTACCCTACCTCTCCACTTCTGGCCTGAGTACCACAATTGCAATGGTAGGGTATGGCAGGGTCTGAGGATTTGGGTGTGCCTGCTGGAAAGCCACCAATGAGGAGATGCCGCCCAAAAAAAACGTATAACTTTCGTTTTCTAGTCACGATACCCTACCTTCTGAGTGCCAAGAATGGAAAGGTAAGGCGCCAGCAGCGCCCTACCCTTCCATTTCCGACACGGGCCAGAAATGGAATGGTAGGGTCTACGGATTTTGGTGTGCCAGGCGCTGGTCAAAATATCAAAGCCTCTAGAAAATGAGGATGAGCAAGTCGCTTGGATACGTTACCTTTCCATGTCTGGCATACCATCCATCATTTTCTAGAGAATTTGGTCCGGCTGTCCCTTGGGTATACCCTACCTTTCCAACACTGGCCAGAAATGGAATGGTAGGTAGGGTATGGCAGGGTCTGAGGATTTGATTGTGCCAGGTGCTGGTCGAGACACTAAAGCCACTTGCTTTGCCTGATCGCGCCGGTGTTGTCGGAGTGTTGTAGTTGATGTTCAAGACATTCGTAGAAGCAGGATCCGCTTGAAAATTGGAAACGCCTGACGAAACCGAAGATGCGCCAAACGCGCGTGAAAAGGCTGCGGTGAGGAGGACGCGCCGTCAGTTTTTTTGACATTTTTTTGAATAAGAAATCACAAACGAATATGTTATTTCTTGGGCCCAGGGATTTCAAAGGAAGGTGGAGCATGGTGGACCATGATGTCGAGTGTTTAGCCGAGCCCTTGCCATCAGGGTGGCTCAGCAACGACATGCAACAGCGCAATCAAGGTACGGTGTTTGTGCCCTTTCCGAACAAATGACAGCGTTGGCGTCATCGCTGTTATAAAGCAAAGGCTTTTCTCCCTCCTCATTGAGTCCGGAGAAGTTCAACTGTATACCAAAGAAATGCTCAATGGTCCAGAAAGTACTGCCCGGCGCGCCGGACGAACGCAATTTCAAATATTGGCTACGGTCGGCTATTTTTGCACGGACGGCGCTCTAAACAGTCCACACTGGTAGGATCCGGCGTGATCTAGGCTCAGAGACCAAAAGGAGCGCTCAAAGTTATCGCTACTATTTGACTATTTGTTGTTTTCTCTATTTGTGGACACTGTACCACTGGCCGACGCGTAGGATGCTTCACAAGGCAGCAATTGGAAATCACGCCCGGCACGCCGGGCGTTACTCTTTGTTGCTTGTCTATCTGTGGACACTGCGCTACGGGCAAAAAAGAATATATATATATATATGCACGTGGGATGCGTCGCTGGTATCGCATCATGGACAAGGTTAAAGATAGTAGCGCCCAGCGCTGCCGTCCAAAGATAGTAACGCCCGGTGCGCGGCTCGCTATTGCTCAGTGAGCGTGAGATTGGCTTACCTTTCCGAAGATCGTCCTGATCTACTTGTTCTTGGAAAGGAGCTGGCAAAAGGATTGAAGGATGCCACGCAAGCACATATGCAGATGTTGAAGCGTGGAGCTCGATATTTGCGATCACATCCCCAATTGTTGCACATATTTCCAAATCGGACACATTTCGCCCAACTTGATGTTTGGGTAGACGCAGACCATGCTGGTTGTTTAGAATCTCGAAAGAGTACAACTGGTACATTGCTTTTGGGAAGTTGCACTATTCGCAATACATGTAAGCCACAAGCAGTTATTGCACTCAGTTCTGGAGAGGCTGAGTATTATGGGTTGGTATCTGGTTCAGGCCAAGCTCTTGGCGAGCAGAGCTTATTGGCAGACTGGAACATACATGTCAGTATCACATGCTATACGGACGCAACAACAGGTTTAGCAATAGGCAGTCGACGTGGACTGGGGAAAGTCGAGCATGTAGATACAGTATTTTCCTGTGGACCCAACAACAAGTCCTTTCTGGGAAGATTAAGCTTGCTAAGCGATTCACCAAGCCCTTAGACAGCCAATGGATGAAAACATTGCTCGAAAGAATGCACTATCGCTTCTCGACACATAAGCGCGCGCTTGCCTTGAAGGCCTGAAGTGCCACTGAGGGGCATTGAGCCGTGGCTGCCTAGGCATCTCTCTTTTCACTTGTTCAGGAGGCTCAGTCATCTAGAGAGTTGCTAGCGTGTAAGGTAGCCTGCTGCATGTGGACTGTGTATGTGTCCCGCAGCCCCTTTTCACTTGACTCTATCAGCGGAGTCCAGAAGCTGAACTGAGAGCCCAGAGCAAGAAAGGAAAGCCGCTGCGCTTGATTGATTGGTTTTTCTTCACGTGGCCGACATAGGTGGTTGTAGCCATGGTTGTGTGTGGGGACATGCTTGTTGCAATCGGCGCAATAGACCGTTTCGTTGCCCTGAGTTCTGTGTTCCCTCTTGGGAACTTCATATTTGTTGTACTTCCTTTTTGGGTTTCTCTTCGTTCTGTGTTCCCTCTTGCTCACCCACATTGTTTATGACTTCTTCCTTGCCTTCTTCGGGCTCAATGTCCTTCACGACGATTTTTGTCATGTACATTGTTTTTAGTTGCACTTTCCATTTTTGATTGACGACGTTTTGTTGATTGAGGTTCGGTTCTTGTACAACATTTTGTCATTGTGTTGTCGGACTGCGTCAAATCAACATATAAGAAACCGTATTGGTCACCCGCTGCAATTCTGTATATTTTGTCCGGCGTGCTTCCATCATGACCCACTTAACTCTTCCAATATGGTTTCCATGTTTTTTGACTACGAAGCCGGAAGAATTGTTTCAGTGGCGTTCTTCCGGACCACCGGCAATACTTGTGTGTAGGACTGCGAAGTGACGAAGGTTGAGAGTTACGAACGCCCACCTTTCGTGATTTTTGTTGATCAACTTCTTGTTCTTTCTGACCATTCGTTGTCCGCATTAGTGCAAACTTGGGCCGCTTTTCCAACCCAAGCCAGGTACTAAGCTTAGTACCTGTTTCGAAGCTGCGCTTTCTTCACGATATCATTGGTCAAATTTCCTATAAATTTTCACGGGTGAGTTTAAATGATCTGATAGTATCCTAAACTGCCTTGAGGTATTGAGTTTCCTTTGCGCACTTCCATTCAATCCCAAAGGCAATCGTAACGGCAACACGAACCGCAAAACTTCCTGACCCGCGTAGTGAGAGCGACCCAAAAGACGGACGGATCGGCCTTTGGTGGCCACATCGGCTCCTACAGTGCGGAGTTGGTAAGCTGTCGGATGGGAATGGGGGGCTGATTTGACGACTAAGAGCACGCATCAGTGCTGCTGACCATCGTGCTCGCCATTGCTCAGCTTTTTGATGATTGCAGGAGCACAAGGCCCGTGCACAGGAGTGGTAGTGTTGTGGAGGGGTGCTGATGTGTAAAGCCCAGTCCACCCTAAGATGCCCTAAGCCTAATCTGATCCTTTGTGTCTAAGCGCCCCCACTCGACAGCGAGCGCTTGCTGCTTGAAAAAGACTGTGTGGGGCTGGTGTAAGAAAGCGTCAATGAAAATTTCCGACGTGAAGGATACGGAGCCAGGAAGCGATTGGCCCCCACCCCCCAGTGATTTCCAGTGATTAAGCAGGCGGGCAGGACCGAAAACCAGTCAAAGAAACGAAAACAGGGGAGAACCTTTAGATTCCATATGATTCCATGTGGGCTCTGTTTTTCAAATTGTGGAAACAGGCGGCCCGCTTGGGCGTAGATGCATCTCTTAGATGAGGCTTGGAAGCGCCTTTCCCACCGATCGAAGTGCTACGATTTCGGTGCAAGCATCGGCCTCAGGCTCGTGTGGCAGACCTTGAAGCCCCTATCCTCATGCATTTGCAAAATGAACTCTATATGGTTTTGGCACAACAGTGTGGTAACATTAGGTGGTAAACAGTATAGGGGTTCTTATGGAAATTCATGCCGGGTTCTGATCGGCGGTTCTCATTGGGGCCTCCGGCTAATTCGCAGCTTATATTTACAGTGCATTCATTCACCTCGAGATCTTCGAAGGCACTTTTCGATTGCGCAGGCTTGCTCCTCGAGACTGCGCTCTCGTTTTGGCGCTGTGCACATTTTTAAGACTGATGATCCTAACTTGACTTTTCGAGACTTACTAGGAACAAGAAGCTACTAGGAACAAGTGCATCGCTAGTAGTAACAAGTGCCTTACTAGTAGTAACAAGAAGCTACTAGGAACAAGTGCATCGCTAGTAGTAACAAGTGCCTTACTAGTAGTAACAAGAAGCTACTAGAAACAAGTGCATCGCTACTAGTAACAAGTGCCTTACTAGCAGAAACAAGAAGCTACTAGTAACAAGTGCATCGCTTCTAGTAACAAGTGCCTTACTAGCAGAAACAAGAAGCTAAGAATTTAGAATTTCAGGCTCAGGAGATCGGAGCGGCTTTGTGTCGATGTGGAGGTCTCATAGCAGCAGTACTTTGGACATGGTCTTCGGCGTGCTCTGATTTCGTCACGGGCGCAATGAGTCGTGACTTTTAGACGTGGTTTGCTTTCAGACATCGGAGGAAGTCTTGAGCAAACTGCGTTTTCGTGTCTTGATGTTGTCTTTGGAAGTGCTCTTGCTGCGAACCACGCCGAGGGCTTTGCGACCTTGAAGTGCAGATTTCGTGGTAGACGCAACGTTTTGTTTGGCCTTGAAGTGTAGGTTTCACGGCAGGTGGCGCAGTATGTTTTGAAGACCTGGAAGTGCAGATTTCATGCCCTTTGGAACTCTAAACCTAGAATTTCAGTTCTAAGCCTCTGAGCCATCTCCTCCACCACCATGACCACTATCACCACCATCATCAACACCACCATTACCACCATCACCGCCGCTACCGACCGCCATCATCACCTCGTTCTGAAACCCAATATGTCTAGATCTCTAGGCCTGCTGCTGGGACACCTCCAGACCTTAGACTGTTAGATGCACCATGATAGACTCTCTTGCAGATTGAGTAGCATGTTCACATTTTATCGCGCAAAAATATAGGGGTTTGGTTTAGAAGTTGGTTTCACAATCAGGGACCTGCGTTCTGGTGCAAAAAGGCATAGCTAGTTTGTGCGCGGTGTTTTGTCCAGTACCGTTGATGGAAAAGGGGGAAGTTTGGTGACCCCCCGGTTTGAAGCCCTACAGGAGAAACATTCAACCGTTTATAGCCGAAGGAGATTTCAACATCGTTGCTCAACTGGCAAGACAAACCGTATTATTGTTTTTTTGTGCAAGAACGCGGCGTCAAGGGATGGTGATAAGAGACAAACATTGGCATAACGGCATGACGGCATAACGGAATAGGCATAACGGCTGGTCATGCTTTGAACGTTGAGGTTGAGAGATGAAACCACTGGTCGGCCGTTGCAAGACCCGGTGACAAAGAAAGAAATGTTTGAAAAAGAGGTCTGGAACCAAGCTTAAGGAAAGAAGCTAGATGAATGAATTCAATAAATCAATGGTACAGTTGGTTCCTTGTTTTTTGCGCCGAATGTTCACTCAGGAAAGTTGGTTCACTTTGGACAATCGAAGGCTGTACTGTTTGCAGAGGGTGGCAGTGAATTTGCTCCCAGAGCGAAGCTTCCCTTGCATTAGTTTGCATTAGTTTGCAGTATCTCTTGTGTTTGGTGAAATTTTACGCCAACAAGATGTCGTCAATGCAAATTGCAACTTTGGTTTCTTCAGGATGTACGGTGGACACCGTTGCAGAGATCCGCAAGGCACACAGAAGGCAGACGTTTTTACCTTGTTCAGCAAGTTCGGTTTGCAATCCAGGAGCGACGGTTGCGGGAGATCCGAAAGTTCCGGACTTTGGATGGCGGCCGAAGCATCAATGTAGGCACGGGCCTGTTCTGCGCTACTAAGCGCAAACTAAGCCTTATGAGGTCGTTGCAATTTTACTAACCCGACTCTATCTCGTTTTCACACCAAATCTTCATGGCACACGTTTCAGACAATTTGATGTTTTTTTAATGAATCAGCCAGGAAGTGTGGTTGATGGTGTGCCCTTTCAAACTTGGTCGTGGATGGAAGAAGCACAAAACCCTCGGAAATCCGATGAAGTCCAAAGTGGAGCCACTCAGCCGCGGAGCTTTGTCAATCTGGACTAGTAGCTTATTGTTTTGAATAGCTTCTTGTTACTACTAGTAAGGCACTTGTTACTACTAGCGTGGCACTTGTTACTAGTAGCTTACCTTTTCTTTGTTTATGGCGATCACACTTTGTTTATGGCGATCGAATCAGCTCGGAGCTCCGTCTTGAGGCGAAGGCAAATCCGGGGGATGGGGAGGTTCGAGAGAAAGGCAAAGGAGGAGTCGGAGCTAGAGCCAAAGGAGAGAAAGGAGAGAAAGGCAGACTCAAAGGAGAGAAAGGCAAAGCCAGAGGCAAAGGCAAAGACAGAGAATATGGCGGATATGGCGGTTACGCGTGGCACCTTCGCTGCACAGAGGTCTTGGGAACCGGACCGAAAAACAAAAGAATGGCACCTTGCGCGCATGCGTCCGATCGCTCCGTTCGTAGCGATGCCAGGAGCCCCTAGTAGCGTCCTTGCCCGGTTCCTGGCATCGCTTCTAGGAACAAGAAGCTACTAGGGGCTCCTGGCATCGCTACTAGGAGCAAGGACCGCTACTAGTGGCTCGAACGAAAAACGTTTGCGTAAAATCACCACCTTGACCTTTTGCCACTCATCACATTGGGGCAAATCACGAAAGATCACCTGAGCGACCTGAGTTCGCTTTAGCACGAAAGGTTTTGTTATTCGTCGGTATGGGGCGGGGCTGTCGACCCCTTCGGATACAGCGTCCCTTGTCTGACATGGAACAAGTGCCTTACTAGTAGTGACAAGAAGCTACTAGAAACAAGTGCATCGCTACTAGTAACAAGTGCCTTACTAGTAGTGACAAGAAGCTACTAGAAACAAGTGCATCGCTACTAGTAACAAGTGCCTGACTAGTAGTGACAAGAAGCTACTAGAAACAAGTGCATCGCTACTAGTAACAAGTGCCTTACTAGTAGTGACAAGAAGCTACTAGAAACAAGTGCATCGCTACTAGTAACAAGTGCC